CCCCAAAACCCCAAAACCCCAAAACCCCAAAACCCCAAAAGATAGCATCCAGATTGAAATTTTAATATTGATAGGATCATTAATTAAGGACTCACAAATTTAACATCCGAATCCATACTTACAGAACATCCCTACAAGATATTCATGCGATAAGGGACAGAATCCTTCGAGAGATATGAGATTACGCCTAAAGTCATCTGAATTTGCCAATCCAATTAGCAAATTGTCTAAGGCATTAGAGCCAGACTGGTCCAGAATGGAGCTTGAGTGAAAAGCTAGTTCTTGGAGTTTACTCCCATCTAAGGAATGACCGAAATCAGGAATATTTCTGATAAAAATCTTACATCTAGTGAAGCTGAGAGCATAATTGGTCCTACATCAGGATAAAAGCTTCATCATCGACTTATGAGATATTTTGAAATTAACGAGGTGTAATTCTCTTGACTCATCACTATTTTTAACCTCATTTAATTGGATCTTATGCACAACAGATAGAATACCACTTAGATAATTATTAATGCTTAATGGACCAGCCGATTCACTTATTAAGGTCAGTCTCTGAGTACTCTGCAGATTTCAATCCTGCAGGAAACTCCTAACCATGCTCAGATTATTTCTTGTTGATGCCAAGTATTTCTATTGAAGATAGCTCGTAAAATAAAAAGGTCTTTAGTTTGCATATCAGCTTTGTGGAGGTGTAATTGCTAAGATCTAGAGCGATAAGGCAATATATTGATGATCAGTCACTCTTCTTTCAGGTATCCCTTTAACGATAATCCTGAAGCATACGTTCATATAGATCCACTTTGATTCAGTTAAGAGCATGGTTTCCTTAAAAATGATAGAGGAGAGCTTCATACGTCTTGCTTTTATATTCATACCTTCAGTGTTGAACGGGCAGGGAACTGACTTAGTCTCTTCTAAGAATTGTTTCAGGTATTTCATTTCCTCATCAATTTCGCTTTTCAATTCATAGTGGTGTCGTTTTCTGATTATATCTGCTAACTTCATTTTCTCATGGCAAAAGCTTTCAAGTTGAATTTGAATCGACTCCAAGTTATCATGGAGATTGTTTAACCTTGCTCTGGATCCATGTTCTACATAGGCTGCTTCATCCTTGATCTTTTGCTTCTCTTCGAAGATTGCCCATTTTAACTCCTTGAATTCTGTCTTTAAATCATGAAGAGTTTTAGGTGCTTGCTGTTCTGACTCTAGTTCCGGCTCTAGTTCTTGCTCACCTTTACTCTCCTGCTGGTTAAGCTCATAAAGATCTCCTGAATAGTTAGCTTTTCAATTCATGGAACTGGCTGCTGATCCCATTTAGGAATAATTTATTATTACAATCATGATATTTAAGCTCGGGGTTTTGGGGTTTTGGGGTTTTGGGG